ACCCGAGTAAGTTTCCACATCTCTGGAAATACAGCAGCCTCTAGGCATTTGTTAAAAATGTAAAGCAGAGGTCTGTCTAGAACCAAACGACAATCTCTAAAGATATAAGGGGGGATACCGTCTGGACCCGCGGACCTTTTCGGTTTGAGTTTTTGAAGAGCTTGTCTCACTTCATCTAAGTGTAGCCTCTCTAGGTGGACTCGCGCCGCACCATTCTCACCTCCTGCTTCTGCTACCGCTGCATCTACATTCAGATCCGCTCGTCGAGTACTATATACAGAGTGGAAATATTTTGCTAACTCTTTAACACCTTGCTCCTCAGATAATATATTTCCGTTTTTTACAAATTTTTGTGAATTTCTATGATCTCTTTTGTTCTTAATGTAATTCCAAAATGATTTTGGTTCCTTTAAAAGGTTATTTTGAACTATATCATGGTATTGTTTTTCGGCCAATTCTATCATTTTTTTAACTTTTGCCCTACACCTGGAAAACGCATTGTAATCGACTATTGATTTACTTGTCTTATACCGTTTATGTAAAGTAGCTTTTTGTTTAATGGCTCGAATTATTTCTTTATTGTACCACTCAGGGTAGGCATACTTAGAGTATAATGAACGTACGCTCTTTCTAGGCACGTAACAATCTATAATGGAGTTTAAAGTATCATAGAAAAAAGATAAACTATCGTCCAAGCTCAACTCAAAAATTGGTGTCCAGTCTATTGCGGCTATTGAAGCATACAATAGAGGAAAATCAGCTTTATTAAAATTCCAACGTGATAAGGTGTCGTCCAAAGAGCAGTGTAACTCCTCGCCATTATTATCTAGTCGGGTATTAATGCAAACCGTCACCTTGATCGGCGGATGATGGGCATCCACCGGCACCAGCAATTCCTCCGCTTCACTTACTCTCACACTTTCTCCCCTCTTGAATCTACTTAGTACCAAATCTAAACAACGATTATTGCAGTTCCTTATTTCATTACTCTGAGTGAATTCACAAAAAGACTGAAAATATTCATAATAGTTATTTACATTTGACGAACACGAATATAAATTAAAGTCACCTATAACTAACATCTTATTATAGTTACTAGAATATTGTTCAAGTATATTAAATAATAACATATATTCATTTTCGCTGCTGTTTGGTGGAATATATAATACACATAACAAAAACAAAAATCTTTTTTGAAGGTAGACTGCAGCACAAACTAACTCAAATGTATGATTATCAATGTTTATATCATTCGGTATTGATACTCGCCGTACTTCGACACGCGGTGTGGCCACTAAACAAGCTCCGCCCTGTTTCCGACCATCCGTTCTGTCGCAACGTAATATTGTGTATCCAGTTGGTATGAGTTCTGCATCACGAATTGACTGATTGCAACCAGTTTCTGTTATTGCAAATAAGTCTTCATCTGAGGCTAAAATACTCCTATAAAACTGGTCCACTTTTGTCCGAAGTCCTCTTACGTTCTGGTATACTATTTCTATAGGCTTATTCTCAATTTTTGGTTTTTTCGGTTTGTCTGCGAAACCATATCCATTCGCAAAACTCAACATTTATTGCCCAATTTTCCGATTGACTTAATTCATCATATTTACTTTCTGGAACACCTATAGTAAAAGAAGCATAATCTCTCTTTGTCTTGTGCTTAATTTTGTCAATTTTAATAGGTACTTCTGCACCTAAGATATTTTTGACATACTTTTCTAGGTTTTCCTCCGTGGTATCAGGTTTTAGTCGCCAAACATGTAAATATCTCTTCCTCTCAGTTCCTTGAATTTCAACTGTACTCGTTTTTCCTCCTTTTTTTACTTCATTTTTAGGATACCTGCTTTTTTTCTATTTACAATTGTCCAATTATATTTCTTTTCTAATTCCTTGGCCTCCTCTTCCTCACTACTTTTAGAATAATTATTCATCTCACTTTCCTTTCTCATCATTTGTGTATTATTGTCTATTTCAGTAAAGTTGGCCGATTTCGTGGCCACACTTTCTTTTACGTTAACATTATTCACGGCCTTCTTTTGTTTTACTGCTTTTGCAAAAGACAATAAGGGCCCCTCAGGGATTGGTGTTGTTTCAATATCATCATTTTTTTTGGAGTTTTTTAATTTTAAACATGTTTCCAGTTGCTCATTTCGTTCAATTAAAATATTAATTTTAGATTCTAATTCATCTACTTTTTTTGCTTTTTCTTGAACTACCTTCATAGTTTTACGCAATTCTCGTAGCTCTGTTTCAGTAGTTTTAAACCGATTTTGAAGAATCGCGTACTCCTTTATTTGATTATCTATCCGAGATTTCATTTCCAATCGAAATTCATGGAGTTCCTCTAGGATTCTGCTCTCAGTCTCAATTGATAAAACTTCCATCGGATTGTGACGACTGCCACGCTCAGTATTCACATAGCTGCTTGGTGTAAAAGTTTTGTCTGCTATAAGATTACCTCGGATCGGCGTATTAGTGTTATCTCGTTTTGGAATAGAACTCTTACACTCCGGGCATGTCCACGTACTTTTGTATTCTTCTGAGAGTTCTTCAAAATCTTCCGCCCCTATAGCCAGGCAATTTAGATGATACAACTTCTTACATTTTTGCTGTGAACACTGTATATAAAACTTATCATGTATCCAGGAATTACATCCGTCACATTTTTTACCCATTTAAATGAGTGTGACTAGAAATCTAGTTATTACGCAAAAAATAATTAAAGCGATAATCAACACACACGTCCGTTCGCATCGAGTACCCGCGATAACAAAAAAAAAATTTTGATTCGTAATCGAGGATAGATGTAGATGTCTATGGGCCATAGCAACCACTTACCATCAGGTGGACTGTGTGCTCGTTTGTCACCCTTATCGTATAAAAAAAACCTCCACCGAAGATTCTCAGCACCCCCTGCCCCACCGTTACCATGGTCGCTACCGTAGCCAGGATAGCGGGACCACCGGGGACTAGAGCCCGTCTCTTCGTAACTTTATTTATGGGCGATATATTGCCATATTTGCCACGCTTGGCGAGCGGGTTGGCAACCGCAGTTTTTTTATAGTTGTTTTGCTATTATGAGAAAGATGCTGCTCCCCATCTTCTGCCTCAGTTTCCCTCCGTCGCCTCTTACGTCAACCACGGGAAGATATGGCGTAGTGGGTATTCTTACCCGCCACAACACGGGGGTTACCTAGTATCTAAATTATAAACGTATTCACGAAATACAAAAAAGAGCCTACTTAAAAAAGTAACGGGAAAAATGTTGCCAGTGGCAGCCACATGCCAATGCGGCGTTATGCAGTGCTACCAGACCACGACATTACTTTTGAAGTTTTAAAGGAAGCTTGATGACGGGGTTAGGCTCAATTTACATTGCCGCGGAACGGAATGAAAACGAATTTTTGCAACGAAATTGTACAAAATGAGTTTTATGTTAATTGCGCAACGTGCAAACTAAATATGAGCCAAAAACAAGTCGCACGTCTTCCGGGGAATTCTTGCGCAGTCATAAGAATTCCCGTAGCTACTGTCGACGCAGTCTGTGGAATCCCCGAGAAGTGGCGCGTTTATTTGTTCCATAAACCATGAACTCAAATATTTTTTCCCTTTATCTAATATTCTTCATTTTCTCATCAGTTTCTTCTTATGCCTCACAAATAAGCAATATGAAAATAATATATAATAACTAATCAATCATTCTTGTCAAATGCAAAATTGATAAGAAAAATTTATAGCCTCAAGGCGCAGTCGCGGGAATGCTAGAGCATTCTCTCGAATTCGCGCGCTTTCTCGCGCGAGGAAGCGAAATTGACGCTTCCGTTCTATACCGTTCCGCCGCAATGTAATGAGCAGCAGAGCCACGCAGCAGTTATATTATTAGAATAATTGTAATAATATAACCTGAGTCACATAATAGATAATAGTACAAGAATCGAAGAAAAACTCTGATAGCAAACTTGCGAGTTTAAACCTAGTTACAACGTTGCTAATGTTCATAATACTTTACACGCAGCGAATGCGACCTTCGTTAAAATAGCATACCGATTGTTGCGGGGAGCGTATTAAATCAAAATGCACCTTACATCCGCGTGCGAGTCTGTATCAGTTAACCCGTTACGCGCCTTTGTTAAGGCGCCTAGTGTAGGGTTAGGTCACAGTTTAGACCTTACAGTTGTGAAACTTCTTTGATGTCTTTTGACGCAGCCAGCGTATGCTAGTTAAGCATTATCATTTATTAACATTATGTACATACTTATCAAACAAGATCATTTGTACTTGTGTGCTAAATTTAATTATGTAGTGTATTCTCATCCGGATAAATAATTTTATCAAAAATGCGGACGCGAGGCGTATGTAGTTGAACGTCTATAAATGCAATTTCAGATTTATTGATTTGTCATATGACTCAAATTATATGCAACAAATTTCAAAGTGAGTTAAACGCGGATACTGACGTGGCTGGTGCGTGTCGTGGGAACGCGCCCTTATCGGTTAAAATATGCGATTATCTGCACCACATTTATAAAGAACTTACAGTGTAAGAAAGGAGACAAAATATTATGAGGACATTTCAATTGAAATTGTGATATAATTTCATAGTTTCTTAGGGGTTGAATGTAAAAAGAAAAAATATTATGGCCGCCAAATGGCTTTTGACAAACGAGCATACAGTCCACGTGATGTTTTAACTGGTTGCTGTAGCCCATAGACATCTACAGCTATCCTTGATTATAAATCAAAATGCAGATGCGTCGTCACCCGTGAGAACTAAGATGGAATGCCTCGGTTCCAGTAAACAGGGTCTCCGGTTCTCTACACTCACCATACGAAACACAGCAGCGTTAAGCTGCTATTTTACGCTGGTATTCTGTAAGTGCGTGGTCCCTCCCCGGTCTAGCTGACCCATTCGTGCTACAACCATACCACTAATATAGCTGCAGCATGGCTCTACCACGTCTAAATATCAGGATGTAGGTATGTAAAATGAATAGAATAGAATATAACCATTTTTATTCAATATAGATTACAGTACATAATACTTATTGAAAAACTAAAAATTACTAAACGTACTTATCTCTCAAAAATCCTTCTAAAGCGAGGTACTTATTCTATATTAATACAGGATCAATTTTTTTATGTTTGTGGTATTGTCCGTTGAGAGTATTGTGTAACGGAAAAAAGTTGTTTTTGTACGTCCATGGTTTAAAGTAAAAATTTAAATTGTTTCAAAATATTATTTACAAAATAATTGCTTTGATGTAGCTTCTTTAAAATGATATAATTATATCAATTAAAACATTAATAATGGTATTTTAGAATGTAATTCAAAATGATGGGGTGTTTTGAATTTTGGCCTTAAAAATTATAAATTACTTGAATGCAATGCAAATATAATCATTAAATACCAGCCATTACAACTTTTAGGCTAGTATTGTCACTTCAAACTGAAATAATAATTTAACTTACAGAAATTAAAAATATTACGTTAACAGACAATATTTTAAGCACAATTTAACACTACCGAACTGTATGATAAAAATGTAGATTTTTGTCCTCAGCTACAGTTCTCATGAGACTGGCTGATCCGACCTTCATTATTACTAACTCCAACCGAGGTGATTAAAGCTACGATCTTCGGCTGCAACTCCATGGATTTCTGTATAGGCATAATTCTCAGCATTGACGATATATACTTACCGAAGTTGTCGAAACAGTCGTCTCGTTGATTTATCAACACATGTAATTGAGTATTTATATCTCTCAACGTAACAGCTAGAGACTCATTATGGAGGTCCTCCAATTTCCCCTCCTTCGGAAATTCTTTAAAAGCCGAAGGCTTCGGAATTTCACTTTCCACGGATTCTTCGTATTCGCTGCTAGAAAAATTCTCCCTCGAGTTGCTAGTATCGGATATGACCACGTCTTTTGGATCAGTCATTTGCACCCACACTTCCGCCTCAGGTTCCTTCTTTATGAGCTCATTAGATTGATCGTCCGCGATCGAAGTCGTTAGATTGTCCATTTTCTGTAAGTAAAGATTACTTTAGTGTTAAAGGTACAGGTTATGTAAACATTGAAGGTTACGCCAGGTTGACCTATAATAAATCAAAGTCGCGCCGCGCGTGACCGGTTTGCAATGACGACGATTGAGCGAGGCATTACCGGGAAAACATACCGACGTTCCCGAGAATGGTTTAAATAAATGGAGACTAATGAACGAGTCCATCGTGTTGAACCAGAACACTTTGGGTTTGTAGGTGTTCTGCTTGCCGTTTGCAGCAGTAGCAGCGATCTTATTCAGCTCTTGGTAGTATGCATTACGTAAATTCTTAAAGATGATCACAGAATAAATGATAGTACAAGTACAGAAGAACCACGCTCTGATAGCAAATATGCGAGTTTAAAGTTACGTCAATGTTGTTCACAATACTTTGCAGGCCTCAGATGCGACTTTCGTTAAGACAGCCTACCGATTGTTGCGGCGCGCGTATTAAATCAATATGCAGCTTACGTCCGCGTGTGAGTCTGTATCACTTAGCTCGTTACGCTCCTTTGTTAAGGCCGCTCCTACAAGTGTATAATGCTCGCTTATCACCCTTATTCTATTTAAAAAATTCTGAAGATTCTACTCACAAGGTTCCCTGCAACAGGGACTTTATGAAGCGATGGTCTTTTTTTGACAACTATTAAAATGCTGCAAAAAGGCCAATGTTAAATAATTAATATTTCGAATTTCACTGTTACTGTAATAAATTGTGATTATTTAGAAATAAAAAGGAATAATTAATTAATTGCACGAGTACACATTTGGCTACACCCAAAATTTTTAGACGCAAATAATCTACAATTTATCAAAATAAAAGAAAAAGCACGTGTATTGTAGAAACTTGTAGATTCTGACGTGTGCTATTCCCGGTAACGGTGAGTAGCTGTGAGAGACAAATAGCTTTCGAGCTAAAAATGAAACTGGTTTTTTTTCGGATTGTATCGCGTATATTAACTTGTAAGACATATTTTATTTTATTTATTAGGAGTTAGTTATGAGATTTTTGGCAGCTGCAATTACAAACATACTTACTATGAAATACGTTAATATATAAACTATATGTTTAGTAAACTATATAAGCCGGGGAAAAGTTAGGTAATATACACATAGGACATTAAAAAAAAGAAAAAAAAGAAAAACACCCGCCATTTTTCACTTGTCTTTCTGTTCGCGAAAATGAGAGAATCTAGCGAAAAATTCGATACATTCTGAAGTTTTATCACAATATAGGAAAAATGCGACTCAAGCCGCCAAAGAAATATGTAACGTATATGGACCTAATGAAGTGTCAGTTTTAAATTAAAAAAAAAAGAATAAAAAAGAATGAAGTGTCAGTAAGAGTAACACAAAGTTGGTTGAAATGTCTGGGAATTTTGATGTCAAAAATGCAGCTCGCTCTGTTCGATCCCATACGGATAAAGTCGATGCTATTTTTGAAAAAGTGGAGCAAGATCGGCTTATTAGTACTTTAAACATAGCCGAGGAATTGAGAATCGACCACGAAACAGTTTTGACCCATTTGAAAAGTCTGGCTATACAAAAAAACTCGATATTTGGGTACCACACGAGCTACTGAAAGAAAGCTAATGAATTGTGTACTCATTTGCGATTCTCTATTAAAACATAATGAAACCGAACCATTTTCGAAAAGATTGATCACTGGTCATGAAAAACGGATCACCTGCGATAAAAACTTGAGGTAAAGATCATGGTCAAAGAATAGTCAAGCTCCATAAACTGTAGCGAAACCCGGATTAACACGCAATAAGCTGATGCTGTGTGCAAGGTGGATTGGAAGGGCATCATTTATTATGAGCTTCTACCGCCGGGCAAAACCATCGATTCGGATCTCTACTGCCAACAACTAATGAGACTCAAACAAGAAATTGAGAATAATGGCAGGAATTGATCAACAAAAAGGCGTGCTCATTCATCACGATAACTCCAGATCACACACATCATTGGCCACTCAGCAAAAATTGAGAGAGCTTGGTTGAGAAGTGTTAATGCATCCACCATATAGTCCAGACCTTGCACCCTCAGATTTTCACCTGTTTCGGTCTCTTCAGAATTCTTTGGGTAGTGTTAGGTTAACATCAAGAGAGGGCTGTCAAAACTACTTGTCGCATTTTTTTGGTCAAAAATCCCAAGGTGTCTACAGCAACGGGTTTAGTCACTACCTACAAGATGGCAATAAGTAATCGGACAAAAATGGCACATAAGTATATATTATAATTAATGTAATTAAATTTTGAAAAAAAAAATGTCTTGAATTTGCATATAAAATACGAAGAAACTTTTATAACTCTTTATATGTATAAGGGTGGGGGTAAAATAATAAATTATGAATCGGTAATATTCACCTGTATTATGTACACTGTAGGCCAAAAGTTTAAGACCACCTTAATTAAAGTAGGAAAATTAAATAAATATCCAATAAAATATTAAATGTTTAATTAAACTGTTACATCATCCAATGAAACACTTTTTGGCAATCAATATACTTGAAAAGCGTAAAGAAATATTAACAGTCCATGCTAAAAAAAGGCTATATAACTGATTTTTTATCAAAAAATCCTCCTTTGCATTCTATGACTTTTTTCACAAGTCTCGGCATACGGGCAATCAATTTGTTGATAGCGTCTTGTGATATATTGCTCCAACTTTCGCACAAAGCATTCCACATTTCTTCTTGCGAGGATGGACCGCAATTACGGTCGTTCCTATCAATCTCTTCCTACAAAAGTTCAATGGGATTGAGATCCGGGCTCTGAGGAGGCCAAACCATGTTTTTAACACCCCTTGTGCCTCTTTCTCTTCCAAATATCCTCTGCATAATTTTGAGTTATGCTTAGGATCATTGTCCTGTAGGAAAATGAATCCATCTCCAATTAATCGCAACCCCGAAGGAACGGCATTTTGTTCTATTTTTTTTTTTGTACTCTTTCCTTTTCATAATTCCGTCAATATTGATCAAATCGCCAGTTCCTTGGCTAGAAAAGCAACCCCAGACCATAACTGAACCACCACCATGCTTGATTGTTGGGACTACAGAGTTTTCTTGGTCACTGCGTCGAACGTAATTTCTTCGTTTTGAACCGAATAGCTCAAACTTGGATTAATCGGTCCAAAGAACGTTTTTAAAATCTTCTTCAGTTCAATCTCAATGGGCAAGGGTCCATTGCATCCGTTTTTTCTTGTTTTGTGGCCATAGCAGAGGTTTTCAAACGGCGACACGATCATACAATTTCGCATCTCTCAGTCGCCGTTTTACTGTAGTCAATGATAAAGGTTTAACTCGGGTATTGTTTACTTCAACGCGAATTTCCGGTTCTGTTAAGCGTCTATTTCGCTTGCTAGTAACAACAATGAAATGATCTTCACGTGACGTGGTAGCTCTGCCTTACCGAGCATGGACGATCTTGAAAAGTGCCTGTCTCCCTATATCGAGTTACTGTGCCAAGAACATAAGTCTTCGATGACTTCAGTTGTAAAGCAATCTCACGTTCGGATTTGCCTTCATTATGTAAAATGATGGCAGAACGCACTTCACTAATTTCGCGTGCTTTTCCCATTTTAAGGCGTCTTCACTGTAGAAACCACAAGTTTAGGCTAATTGAGATTATTTGTGAACAAAACCTCTCATACTCAGGTAATAATAAGTCGGAAACACGTGCTTTCGAAGCTAAATAAACCCAATTATTGACCAATGGGAAACAAAATCAAAGTAATTAATTATTAGCCAATCATAAAAATATTATTACGACTCTACCACCTACCATTGAAAACAATACACGTTTATTGGCCAATAACTTGAAAGTAAATAAGAGAATGACTTCTCTAGATATTCGATATTAACAATAGAATGGGCAGGTGTACATTTATTTTATTTATCTTATGGGATTTCGTTACAATTTATACGGAGGGGCACACTGAAATGATCGGGAATAGAATATTTCGGATTGAGTTACAAAAAAACCTTTTTTAGAATTTGAATACTGGCCTCTTAGAATCTTAATGACATTCAAACAATTAAAAAAATGTTTAAAACAAAAACTATTGTCTACGCCCGAACGCTGATTTCGGGATTGACGTTAGAGGGCGCGCAGCTCGGCGATACCGGTTTGAAGTTCGGCCGAACGTGGCAAGTGGCGCGCGGGTCGCAAGCGCAGCAGTCGTCTGCCAGATGTGCTGATGTCTGCACGCTGTTAATTTTGTGCGGGAACCGCGGAATAGTTAGGGCGTCTAGTAAATATCCTGTCTAGGAATTATAACGCGCATTCCCTGTTTGGATAGCCTTTCCCGGGACTTATTGGGTCCGACTCAGAATCTGTATAAGTGCATTCGACAATATTAGCTAGTGCGGCCTCTGATATTCTAGAACTAACTGTTGCTACGCGAAACGGCCGTGACCTTTAAACTCCGTGTGCGTTTGTGCTTTAACCTTATACCCAGCGATAGTTAGTGGCTTCTGTAAGTTAGTTAATCGTACGATAGAGTTAATTGACTGTCATCGTGACGAGAGAAGAAAGTGACTGTGGTCCGGCGCCGAAGCAGTCTGAAGCAGTGTGGCAGCATTTTGGAGCATCCTGGAACTCGGCAGCGGCTGGTCGCCTATGCTTGACAAGGCCCCACACATTCACCCCTCACTGTACACTACTCTCCATCCACTATTACACACACTCACGGCCTGCCCAAGCCTTGGTGCGAAGTTAGCTTCGGATAATGGTAAGTACTATGTCCTTCTAACGTCCTCCCATCTGGTTTATTGTAATTAGGAATTTCCACGTGGCCACATTGAGGCCCGACCTACGTTTGCTCGGGAAGTCTTCTGCTCATGGGCCCCAGAGGATTGGATCCTTTGAGGGAGCAGCCGTAGGCCGTAACAAACTGGTAGCAGAGCGCGGTTCCGGGTTCGATTCCCCGGTCGATCCCGACCATAGTGTTTGATAAAAATTAAACAATTCTGGTGGCAGGGA